GCCTTGTGGCGCACAACGGGGACCGCTACGACTTCCCCCTGCTCCAGGCAGAGCTGGCTGTGCTGGGCCTCGCCAGCCCGCTGGACGGTGGCTTCTGTGTGGATAGCATCGCCGCCCTGAAGGCTCTGGAGCAGGCCGACCGGCCCCCAGAGCAGGGCCCGCGGAAGAGCTACAGCCTGGGCAGCATCTACACGCGCCTATATGGGCAGGCGCCACCGGACTCGCACACGGCCGAGGGGGACGTCCTCGCCCTGCTCAGCATCTGCCAGTGGAGGCCCCGGGCCCTGCTGCAGTGGGTGGATGCCCACGCCAGGCCCTTCAGTGCCGTCGAGCCCATGTACGGGGCCACAGCCACCACTGGCGCCAACTCCAGGTCGCCTGCTGCCACGGCCTCGGCGCTCCTGGGCAGAGCCAGGCATGCCCGTCGCAGCCTTGGGGCCAGCGTCCTTCCCCCAGGGAAGGGCCCTGCGTCCTCACCCAGGGAGGGACTCCTGGCCCCACTGAGCCTGCTGGCCTTGCTGACCGTGGCGCTGGCCACACTGTACGGGCTGTCCCTGGGCTCACTTGAGCAGTAGCTGAGAGGAAAGCCTGGCAATAAAGACCCCGCACCGAGTGCTGGCGTCCTCCATTTCCTCGGCAGCCGCAGCGCCTGCACCTCTGCCCCGCTCAGCCCCGGGGACGGCACAACCTTGTCCCTTCGTCCCTCGTCCTCGCTCGCGGGACGGTCAGATGTCTGAGCCCAAAACTAGGAAAACCTGGAAGTCCGAGTGTTGGATGGAAACGGTACCAGGCCCATCGCTCCAGGCAGCCCTGGCCGGTGCCGCTGAGCTGGTTGAGCGACCTCCTGGGCACCAAAAGGCGGCTGGTTCGACTCCTGGTGAGGGCACATGCCCGGGTTGCCAGCTTGATCCCCAGTAGGAAGCACGCAGGAGGCAGCTTCCTACTGAACAAAATGATTTGTTCTTGCGTTGATGTTCCTTTCCCATCTTCCAAGTCAATTTTTAAAGAAGGAAGGGCCAGTAGCTCAAAATGTCTGCATTTATTATAAACCAAGGTACAGCTCCCAGACTCAGAAACGCATCAACAGTACAAAGTTGAGACAGATCTGGCGAGACAGTCACAGAGGGACGCGGACACTGAGGTATTCGGATCTGGGCCCGCGGCTACCCGGGGCCCCCCTCC